ACAAAATTTGCCTCGATACGGATTTAGAAAAAAAACCAAAGAAGTTGAGCCTAAAAGACGGGGTAAAGCGACAACAATATCGTGGACACATGATGAAGATGTTTTACTATGTCGAGCTTTCTGTACCATCTCAAGTGATCCGGTCATTGGCGCTCAACAAACGTTTGAAGGTTTTTGGATGTGAATTATACAGTATTATAATGAAGCTAGTGAAGCACAAAACCTCATTCAGAGAACTATGGAGTCACCAAAATCTCATTTTTATGCTTTCCATGGAGACTGCCTCAAATTTAATGCGTCAATAAACATGTTTCGGGCTGATTTAATAAGTGGTGAAAATGATGCAATTGTTTTGCAGAATGCACTAATGGAGTAGAATAGCGAGGGGAAAAATAAAGGGGGTTTCATATAGCTTCATTGCTGGGAGGTATTGAAAAATAATGCCAAATTTGATGGGGCATCTCAGACATCCCGAGGAGGAAAGAAAGCTAGAATATTTGATACTGGAGATCACACTTCTGGCTCTGGGCAAGATGTCAAGCCTAGTGGTGATGGTAATGACAGATATGTGCGTCGACCAATTGGCCAAAAAGCAGCAAAGACTGGGAAGAAAAAGGGAAAAACAACTGCAGGAGGAAGCATCGGTCCAGATGTTGAACGTCTGCTGGCTGAGATTGGTCAGGTTAAAGAAATACATCAGAAGAAACAAAAAGATTTGGAAAAGCTAGTTCGTATAGAGTCATGGAAGACGTACAGAGAAATGGTAAATGAGGATACTTCAACCATGACAGAAGAAGAATTGCAAGCCCACCAGAGAACTTCTTGTCGTGCTTAAAGAAGAGTTGGGTCCCAACTTATTTCTTATGTTGTTTGGTGTTTTTATTGTTCTATAGTTTAAATGATATGCATTGTTTATCTAAGTTATTATGTATTGTGTTTAATTTTATGAGTGTAAGCAATGTTTGCTGGTGTTTGGTCTATTTAAAAAAAAAAAGAAAACTTGTTTTTTTCACTTTTTTTTTTAACACATCTAACTCGTTGTTATGCCATAAAATTAAATTCTTTTAGTTTCAGAGACTAAAATAATGTCAGTTTTATTTCGCCAAAAATAACATACATATTTCTAGACGGTACAGTGCTTATCTTATTGGTTCAACAACCACATTTAATTCATTACCCACTATATACTTTTCACCTAATACATTAATATCTAACACACCAACCACTACAATATAACACATATCACATTATTACCTAACACACCATACTTGTCACCTACTACACCATACATGCCACCTACTACCACACATGCCACCTACCGCCACATACTACCACACATGCCACCAAACACAATCACTTCTTATTATAAATAGTATAGTATCCTAAGCTTCACAACTACATCCAAAAACATCTTTCAATTCCTTCTTGATTCTTTCTTCTTATTGTTTTGCCAAAATTCTCAAATATAAATATTTTTCACATTTTTAAAATGGCCGGCCGTAATAATGATAGTCTCATATCGTGCTTTCTTGAATGATACGCTTGACGATTCTTTGGAGCAAGTTGAATTTGCCTTGATGGAGGCCACGACTATGCAATTGCAGCAAGACAGACAAGATAAAAGTTCAACTAGGCGTGAAGGACGAGAAGTGCCTCGAAATCCTGAAGCTGGTCATGCCCTACTGATAAGAGATTATGTTGCTCCCAATCCCATATACCACGAAGGCTACTTTCGTCGTAGATTCTGTATGTCCAGACGATTGTTTATTCGGATAGTTCAGGGTGTCGAAGGACATTCTGATTAGTTACGTGTAGAGCAGATGCAACACGAAGACCAGGTTTTATACCAATTCAGAAGTGTACTGCGGCTATACGTCAACTAGCATAAGGAGCTCCTGTCGATCAATGTGACGAGTACCTTCGTATGTCAGAGCAGACGGCGAATCGAAGTCTGCTTGAGTTTTGTCGTGCTGTGCGAAAAATATATACGTCCCAATATTTACGCCCCCCAAATTCCAATGACATCCAAAAAATACTGACATTGCACGAGAAGAAACATGGTTCTCCTGGCATGTTGGGAAGTCTAGATTGTATGCATTGGGAATGGAAAAATTATCATGTGGGATGGCAAGGCTCGTACACTCGAGGGGACCATAAGGTACCCACGATTATGCTTGAAGCAGTGGCATCACAAGACTTATGGATCTGACACGCATTTTTTGGGCTCGCGGGATCACAAAATGATATAAACGTACTGCACGAATCTCCATTATTCAATGATGTTTTACATGGTGTAGCTCCATAGGTCAATTTTGTGGTTAACGGGACTCAGTATACCAAAGGGTACTACTTAATAGACGGTATCTATCCAGAGAGGGCTATATTTGTCAAAAGCTTTCAATGTCCAGAGGATCCAAAAAGGAAAAAATTCAAGCAGAGGCAAGAGGTTGCAAGAAAAGACGTTGAGCGTGCTTTTGGGGTCCTCCAGTCAAGGTGGGAAATCATACGAGGTCCTTCTTGTTTTTGGTATAAAGAAAATCTTAGTGAAATTATATTATTGTGTATCATTTTGCATAACATGATAATTGAGGACGAAGGCGGAGAAGCTACCAACTGGTCTAATGATGAATGGGAACCACCAGCGCTGGCGCGTGAAGGGGGGTCTTTAAATTTTCGACGCTACTTGCAGATAAGAGCTGAGGTGCAAGACAGACAAATTCATCATCAGCTTCGACACGACTTGGTTGAACATATTTGGAATAAACCTACTTCTCAATATTAATTTTTCGAAAAAAATTGTACCTGAAATTTAATTTTTAGCATTATGAAAGTTTTATGTTTCGTAATTTTTATAAGTAAAATTTTACATTCGTATGCACTTAACACTACATGATTATAAATAATAAAATATAATTATATGTAATTATATATTTTTTTAGGTGTAATTTTATTAATATATAAAATATTTACGTTTAATAAATAAAAAAGTAGAGTTATAGTTTTAAAGTATTAATTAATAAAAATATAAGAGTATAGTATTAATTAAAAATAAATGGGAAACATGTGGGACCCATAAAAAATGAGGTTTATGAAGTTTATTGTTATTGGAGGTTTATGGGTGTAAGAGTAAGGATGAAGTTTTGAATGATGTGACAATTGGGAAGTGTAAAAGTGAGGTTTATGGAGGTTTATATTTTTTATTTGTTAAAGATGCTCTAATAAACCTCTTGTAGTGGCCCCACATCTACAATCAACCTTCTAACTATTTTTATTTTTTTTTTATTTTTATTTTTTTATTTTCCACTTGGACTTATATTAATAAAAATATATAAGTATAATATTGATTAAAAGTTAGTGTGAATCATATGGGATCCATTAAAAATAAAGTTTATGGCGTTTATTATCATTGGAGGTTCATAGGTGTAGGAATTAAAATGTAGTTTTGGATAATGCAGTCTGTTGGCAAATGTAAAAGGAATTTATGGGGATGTATTGTTAAAGATGCTCAGTAGAATGGTAATTATTTTTAGTTACGAAACTCAATTGCAACTTAAGTTTGGAGGTTGTCAAGACTATTGACAGGAACAAGCGCTTCTAAATTTAGTTCAAAAACTCAACTACACTTCTTCATTTCTTCACAATGGCACAATAACTATATTCACCTACTCTTTCCTTTTGATATCCCAAATCTCTGATGATTTTGTGATTGCTCCATTTTTTTAATCTAATATTTTCAAACGATTCTTTGTGACCTTGATGACATATTTGTACTTTTCATGTTGAACCAACTTTTCATACCAAGTCCCACTAAAAAAATACAATTAGCAACCGAGTTGTAACTGATAATAACCATACAATAACTGTCCTTTTTGTAGGGGTGAGCAAAACCGAGTCGAACCGATGCATTCGGTGCGTTCGGTTCGGTTTTTCAGGGGTTCGATTTTCAGTTGGGTTAGAATTTGAAAAAATCGCAAAAAAATCGGTGCAGTTCAATTTTGTGTCTGAAAAGTGAGATTTTAACCGAACCGCACCGAATATGTTAAAATGCAATTTAATTGTACTATTGGGCCATAAGGTAAGCAGGGAGACAAGTTGTTGCTTTTCACTTTTGGGCCTTTGAATTTGGGGCCTTTGGGCCGCTTGACATTTATAAAGAATGACAATTACCAATTAAGAAAATAATTTACAATTAACGATACTTAAAATTCTATTTCTTGAATATTTCACTTATTCAACTCTCAAATTCACTTATTCACTTGAAAATATATTTCTTGAATCTTGCCTGACAGAAATTATTTCCCCTTCCAATCATTTTTTTTTTTTTTTGAGGTTTAACCAAAAAAACTGCACCGAACCAAACCGAAAATTTTGGTGCAGTTTTGGTTCGGTGTTTCCTCCTAGCTCGGTGCTGTTCAGTTTGGACAAATATACATTTTCGGTTTTTTCAGTTCGGTGCAGCTCGTTGAGAACCGCACCGATGCTCACCCCTACCTTCAAGCTTCAAGCTTGAGTACAAGCAGCTCTTTCAAAAAGGGGAAATTCAGGTCCCTCCCTATCATTTTCATGTGCTCTTTCAAGATCAATCCTTCATATATGCAAAACCCACTGGTACAAAAAAGCAGTAAATTACTAAATTTGATAATACATTCCCACAACACACCACTACATTTTGATGTTCACTGAACTAGACTTTATATTTCTAAAACAATACCTTTTTTTTTTTTCTTACGAATATTTCCTAAGGACTAAATTCCAGTATATCACGCCCCTCCCTCAAAATCCAGCTCCTCAGATGAGGATTAAATGAATGCTCTGCCAAAACCAAAGCCATCCCACCCCAGGTTATAAAAAGCCCCATTAAAATAAATATATTACAGAGGGGCTACCGTTTCCCATCATGAATTGCATCAACTCCACTGGGGAAAAAAATACAACTAACCTGGATCAACAATCATATCCCCCACGGACCAATGTGGGCCGTCAGAAATCAAAACAGGGGTTCAGCTTGAGTTTTTCAACAGCGATCCGTTTTCTTCACGGCTGGAAGTTTTCATTTGCTCGGGTTTGAATCCATTGGCCTTAATAGGTGAGTTAGCACTGGCATTAAATTTTCCAGGCATTTCTTGGGGAGCAACGTTTTGTGAATCAAGCAGCGGCTGTTGAGAGCACAATTGTTCCATCTCCATACGCCTTAGAGACGGGACATCGTCCTTACAGTAGCGTCTCCACATATTCCTGAATGCCGACTCGAGGCCCCTGGTGAATTTGGATCCATCACAAAGGGGAGATTTGAGCATGAGATCACGAAGTCTCATTCTCAAGCTCGAAAGGGCATTAAGGTCAGATGCCAGCTGCACAGCCATCTGCACGTACTCGTCTTCGTTCTTTGCCACCAGATTACTCAGGCCTGAGAAATAATAATAAAAATGGGCTACTCAAAATCCAGAAGGTTGAGAATGAGACCTGGTAATGTACGTTTTTAGAATCCGTGAATATTATCAATTGGATACAAGAATAACCTGGTAATGTACGTTTTTAGAAGATAATAATTGAATAACCAATGAATACGTACCAACTGTTTTGAGAAGACTCACACCAACATTATGAGCGTGAACTGAACCTCCCATGGTGACACATGGCACTCCCATGTATAGCGATTCACACGTGGTAGTTGTCCCTGCGTAGGGAAAAGTATCCAAGCTAGGAACAGAGAGATTTCTATTAGCCTCATATGCATTCATGCCCAATAATAATCTAAAAGCTACTCAAAGCATTGGTGTTCCTAGTTTAACTCAAATACTTTATGGCAAGATTTTTATTATGTCTTAGGAGTACATTTTTTATCCAGATTGTAATCTATGAAATCGTAGAACTGTCTGTGTGAGGCTGTGGTTAGAAAGATTTTGGAAATAGTAAAATCTGAAGCAACTGTTTCATCTCAGTTTCAAGTGAAGCATAACTCAAAATCACCTTATGTCCATTAAAGAATATGCTTGCATATGGTCGTGGTTGAGAATAATTAGAGGCAGAAGATCAACACGTAGCGAGTCCAAACCCAACTTCTCCAGAGTTGTAAGAAATTGCTGTCTTACGCTATCACAGCAAAACGGCTTGCACTTGACAATAAGCCGAGAATTTGGGACTGCACATAGAATCTTTGCCCAGACTTGCAGCACTTTAGGTGTTATCTGATGAATTTGAAATAGTTAAATAGAGGATTATGAAATGTTAAAACCAAAGGTCCAACTGCACAATTGTTTTGTTCAGAAACCTTTGCAAGATTGTTGAAACTACCAAAAGTGACAAAGCCATTAGCTAGAGCAGGAGCTGGAGACACAGGCCCGGCTTCAGGGGAAGGGGTGTAGCACAAAAATGAGTCAGGTAACCGTACCAACTCCTCAACATGCCTGCCATTAACAGAAAAACTCAATAATAATTAAAAAAACAAATCGAAGTTGGGTTACGGTGTACACTGAAACCACAAAATATTTTTAAAGACAAGTTGCACAGACTTCTGCTTCGTGTCAACTGGGTCGGCTAGTGCATCAGTTATCCTGTAATCGATGGTAGGCAAACCAGTTGTATTAGGATAGCCAATCCATGTCACCTGCAATACCGAGAGACCGGCATAAGCCATTAGCAAATGTACTGTTTTCTTTGATCATGCGTCCAAATCATTGTTTTTACTTTCTAAGTCCTCTCAAATGCTGCATTATGTTCTTAATGTATTTGAAAGTCATAATCAGCATTTTCACATGTTATAAACGTATGATATACAGAGCATTTATATTAATAATAATAAGAGTAATGCGTAGTCTAAATTGATTTCTATACTTCAGGATACTGCAAACTTATAAAAACTAACAACAAAACTAGAAAAAATCTTCTACACCCAAACTTGCTGTCATTTCAAGCACTGAACATTCTAACTTCAAATGATCAAGACTCTTCCCTCACACATAAACAAAGTGAAATAGAAGTTCAGATACCAGTCTAACATCAAACAATAGATTAAGAAACACATAGTAAGAAATACCTGAACAGGTGCAGGCCGGCAGGCCATCATTCCCAGCTTGTTGTTTGCAGTATGACCAGTGAGTTCCACCAAAATATCAATTTTATCTTCTCTAACTAGGCTCGCTACTTTTTTCTCATCAATCCCGTAAATGTCCCTCCAGGTTCCACCATTCTTCAGGACTCTGTCCCTGAATCTGTTTGTTTTTGCGTCTGCCTGCCACATCAAAAAGGGAGATCATAAAGTATAAATTAATTTGAGGTTCTTGATTTCTACAGACGATTAAATTTGGACAATAAAAAAATTGATTGGGGTAAAAATAAAATAACTGGCAGTTCAAATGAGAAAAATTCAGAATACAGTTAGGGAGGAAGGGCATTGCGACATTTTCTACCTTCACAACTGCTGAGTAGACAACCACCTTGTAGTTTGCATAGTCATGATAGATAATTGGTGCCTCAATGAAATATGACACAGAATGAGTAAAATAATCAGGAGACACATATGCAATAACAAGCGGTCTTTCTGGATCCTTAATGTTGTCCCAGGAATTATACTGTGGAAATAACCTCAGAAAGCGCCTACCCCAGTCCCTGCAGTAACACATTTAAACAGAAAAAAAGGTCATGATATTTATCACTTAGCAAAAGGTATAAACAACACTGTCAGAATGCAAGAAAGTTTCCAGATCTTGACTAGGAAAACAACATTGAGAACTCAAGTAATCAGTTAGAAGATTTATCAATGTCGCATAACACTATTTATACAAATGAACATATTAACACAAAGTTTTGTAACCATGTCAGTGATGTAAAGCAGATGTTTATGCACTTCAAGTTCACTTTATAAGTCTAAATACCTATAAAAGAAAAACACAACATAGAACACAGTGCATAGTTCACGACTAGTGGTAAAATAATTCTCATTACCTGTTAAAAATCAAATTATTAAAATTCAAATTATCAAATATGTGTACATGACAAGACAACATGGACCCGCACATCTGGAAAAAAAAATATATATATATATATATATATATTCTAGCAGAAACATACGTATGAACAAGTTGTAGCACAACAAGTTGTAGCATGATACATCAAATGGTTTTCTCATGTAACATTTATGAAGAACAGTTCAATGTCCAGCATATAAGGAGTGGGCAATAACATATAGATAAAAGCTAGACCTGTGAGTCTCATATAATTTATCGTCAGCTCCTTCATATATGTAGTTCAATGCTAGTAGGCGATTCTGCAAGATGCGCCAACGAAAATATTGTTATGCAGAAACAACATTGTAGCAACTGTAATTAATGAAATACAGTATACAAACTCAAGTGCCAAAGTTCGTCCAAAAGTTTGACGAGGTTTCTGTAGCTAATGGAAGTCATTTTAGCACAGTTATATCATATAAGAAAGAACAAAGATAGAAACTTTTCCTCATGGAACCTGCCGCAAATTCATAAATAAAAAAGAACGGAACAGCCGGAAGGAAAATTAACCCAATAAGTGACTTAAATTAAGTACAAATCAAAGAATACGCATTATAATTAAATCTTCAGACTTGCACGGCCTTCGCCTGCTGTTTGCACAGCTATTTCATAATATGTAATCTCACGCAATATGTACAATAAATTTCACTAGCACATCTCAGAGGGAAGCATACGAATGGGAAGGATAAACGAGATACTCTCTCGATAAAGCCAATCAAATATTATTTCATTCAAAAATCAATCAAGGAAAATAAACTAGAGGGAGTTCTTTATATGAGGCCCCTAATCCAAAACCTAACTTGATCACCAAGAAAGCTACTAAATATTTAAATAATAATAATAGTAATAATAATAACTCTTCTGCATCATCTCATGAACATGATAAATAAGTGCTAAACTAAAAATATGCCAAGTTTCAGGAAGAGAGAAAATATGGAGGGATTAAATAAAACATTAAAAACATAACTTCGGCTCAACATTCACAGGATAAAAGAAGAGGCACCTGGCCTGCATTGCGGGAGTCTGGATCTATTTTGAGGCACTGCTCATAAGCTTCAACTGCCAGAGATATATTTCCAGCATCTCGGTAAAGAACCCCTACACATCCAAATAGACTTCTAACATAAGAGATGGCTACAATATGTATGCAAAACATACACACACACACGCACGCGCACACAGCAACCCTACTGCCCAACCCCTTCACGAATCTTCCAACTAGTGCAAACTGAGCCAAGGTATGAAAGAAAATTGTACATCTATATATATGAAAAGTGTCATCATGAATACATCACAAGTTTCTTTCAACTAGTCCAAACATCAAACCTACTGCTCAACCCCTTCACCAATCTTCCATCTATCCCGAACCCCAAATAGACACACATATCCACCGAGCCAAGGTTGGTTACATAAATTTGATTTTATCTTCCATTGAGTTTTAAATGTAATCTTAATGTTGGTATGATTGAATCCTTAAAGGAAGCTACACTTGTAAGAAGGTCAAATCGGAGGCAACAATATGAAGATACTTCTTTTTGTGGCAATATGAAGGTGGAAAAATAAAAGAAAGAGACCTAAATTGTTATATGCCTCAGCATACGTTGGATTAGCAACAATAGCTTTCTCAATCATGCTTGCTGCAGCGTCCATTTTACCCTGTACGAAGAAATAAAGCTATGAATATATAATCCAAGCAGAACGCAATAATTGACAATTAATAATAAAGGCAACAACAATAATGATAGTACTATTAATGATATTAAACAAGAAAAAGCTTTATATACAATACCTGGACGGTATACACAACTCCAAGATTGTTTAGTGACTGTGAAAAGTTGGGTTTGATAGATAAAGCCATCTGCAAATGCATGCGTATATAATGAGCATACAACCAAACATATGATGCACTTTATCAATAAGACTTTCATGATTCGGATTCACCTGGTAACACTCTACTGCTTTATCGAGGTTGTCACGATCCTTGTATATCACCCCTAAATTGTTACATGCCTCCGCACAATGGGGATTGAAGTGGAATGCAAGTTCATAAAATACAATTGCCTGCATAAGTAGGATGCCAATTTAGAAGATGATAATCATCCGTCATATAATACATCAAGCAAGAACATCCTAAAATGACTAGGTGATGCAATGATTCAATGTCATCTTCAACAGTTGCCAATCTCTATATACACAGACCAGCAGAAGTAGAATTTATGTATTGCTTATAAGATACTATTGAATGCGTATACAACAGACTACAAAGTCCATGCCAAATTTCCCAGTGATGCCCTATGATGAGATCTTTTTAAAATTAGAAGCTTGTATTTAAAGCTCAAATATGAATAACCTGTTTTATTTCAATTACCATGTCAAACTTCAGCATTTCTCCATAAGCAACACCAAGATTGTACATGGCATCAGCATAGTGCCAATTGTAGCAAAGAGCTTTCTTATAATATGCAACACCCTGGTTGATGTCACCCTCCAATTTAACCTGCAAAGAAACATTTTAAGTAAATAATCCAGATATTTAATGGAATGAGCCATTCAAAAAGTTAAACGATATGCATTGCAATGATGAATCTGAGGGAACACCAAGGCGTAGAGAATACAATTTAAAGTTTTTCTTTTCTTTTAAAAAAAAAAAGGAAAAAAAAAAAGAAAATGCATCTTGACCATACACGTGTAGTTTCCAAATGATTTTGCGGTCACTAGTCACCAGAGCTTTCAAACTATTAACTTTCGTGAAATTCATGTAGCATTTTACCCAAAAAGTTACTTTAGATAGCAAAGGCAATAAAGGTTACAGTTCAGGTTGCAAATTTTCTTACTCTTCAAGTAATGATATGATAGTTAATAGCCAACAAATAATAGGAGATGAATCAGGCGAAGGATTTTAGCATTTGCTAGTTTCAGATAATAATGGGATGTATAATCATCATGTCATGAAAATTCAAAGAGAATAGAATAAATGCAATGAGACAAAAACTGCAGTCCTAAAAGTTTACGACCACAACCCATCATTTTTCCCCTGGCCCATAGAAACGAAATGTTTGTCAATACATGGGCGGCTGAGTTCCATAAGACATGACCAGGTGGAGAGAGAAACCATACCTTTGTGCCTAAATCTGTTAAGGCAATGGCCATGTTATTTTTTGCAATCTCAAAGTTTGGGGAAACAGTTAGACACCTGCACAGCACAGCAAGAAACAAATCCTTATTACATCAGAAGGATGAAAAACCAGGAAGCCAGTAATTCATAATTTCATAGAGAAAGTGGCAAAACGAACAACTAAGCACCTATCATAACAGGCTATTGCTGACTCCAAATCCCCACGATTTTTATAAATGACACCCATGTTGCAATATGCTTCTGCGTACATGGGTCGCTCTATTGCAGCTCTTTCATAACAACTAAGGGCCGTGTCATATTGCATCATCTCCGAATACACAACACCAAGGTTATAATAAGCAGGCTGCACACAGAAAACTGATGCATCAAAATTCAAATGCCTCGATATTGAAGGAAAAGGATAAGCAAATATGATAATTGAAAATGGGTATATGAAATCACAGCATAGTGTGGGTCGATCTTAATAGCTTCATAGTACTTCTGGATTCCCTCCTGAGAGTTTCCAGCAAGTTTTAGACTCGTGCCAAGATCTGTCAAAACAATTGCCAAGCATTCTGCTGCTAGCTTGTATGATGGATCAGCCTTTAGAGCTTTCTGATACATCTGCACCCAGAGCAAATTCAGACAAGAGAGATAGATTTGGTAAAGCCCAAATTGGATAACAACAAATTTTTCAAGATTTCCAGGTCATGAAATTCCTATTAGACCTCATAACATTGATGACGCGAAAACAAGGGCAAAAGAGTGAAATGAAGCAATTACAGACCATTTCAAACAGTCAATATCACAAATGCTTTAGCGTTAACATAAGCTGTCTGGATGTATCAGTGCCTTCGTTATAGTTGACAAATACTGAAGTTTATTAAAGAGTAAGAGAGTTCATTCAAGCAGTAGAATAAGTAGAAATCACAACTTCAAAAAGTGATCTTGAGTAACTATGATAAGTGCACACGTGTACCTCAGCCGCCTCCACCAGTCGCCCCTCATCTTTATACAAGATACCACAATGTGTGAGTGCGCAAGCATTTTCTGGATCCAGCCTCACGGCTTCAGCAAAACTCTCATATGCGACCCTCCCCAAGTTTTGCATCTGAAGGCAAATCCCTTTACCAATATGAGCTTCAACATTTTCGCATTCCCTCTCCAACACACTCTCATAGACAGCAAAGGCATCCACAAATTTGTTCCTTGAGCGGAGAATATTAGCATAAGATAACGCATCTTTCCCTTTGAAACACTTACTCCCGCCACTAATGCTCAAAGGGCTTCCACTGCCAATCGAAGGCTGCTTTTTTACCGAAACCTGACTATCTATGGCGTCCCTCACTTTTTCATTGTCAACATCCTTTTCTGTCAATCCCATCTCACCGGACAGCTCAGGATTCTGACCGAGATAACCAACAGAAAGAGATACAAAGTCTACTGTTCTCCAACAACCTAGGCCACCTTGATTAAAAAAATAAATAAATAAACATTCAAACACATAATTGAAACAACCGATAATAAGCAACTTAGCTCCCAAGGTCTTGCCTTAACGAACTAAATGTGATATGCCGTAATTCAATTTGTAAAAAAAAAAATGAAAAATATAAAACACACACACACACACACACACTAAACGGAACTGATTGAACAATCGAAGAACAAATAGTACCGATCGGAACTATACCGTACAAATTGATTCCGAAGCTTTCGAACTCCAAGACGGTGGCAATACGTTCGGCTACAACTTCGGACACCAACACATGGCGGCGCGTGTACTGCTAGCACTGCTGTTATTCAGCGGGTGGCGCGTGTGGGAAGGATGTCGACAGTGCGGCTTTGATGTCTCTTCAAGACTCAACTGCGGAGCCCCTGCTGTTCGTCTATTTGCCAGGACGCCATATACTTTATGAACTTTTATTTTGGCCCATCATCTTCCGGGTAATTTCACTATTGCCACTGTTAGCCTGGGGAAAGAGAAAAAAGAATAAAGTTATTTTTCTTATTTTTTTTAATATTTTTCTTATTTCATAATAATAACATTTATTTTAGTCTAAATCTTCTCATTCAGTCCCTAATGAAAATTTTTTACATTCAACTCCCTAGTCAACAAATCTATGGTCCCCTCTAAGGTGTAAATTACATTTCTGTCCCCGATACCTGTTTTCTGAAAAAAAAGTACCAGTTTTCATTTAGTATAGTACCTGTTGCTTTCAAAATAGTATCTTGTGTTATAAATTTACATGGATCTTTCTATCTTGTACCTGACTTTATTCCCAGAGTACCACATCTCATAAAATGGTATCAGAGCCTAGGTTTTATTAAGAACTCTCAGAATAATTTATTACATGGTAATTGAATTTTGGTGAGGAGAATTATAAAAGAATGGATATAGAAAATTGCCCAGAATGTATACATTATCTAAGATATCTTCAAATCTTGAGATGTGTGAACAAGAACACTAACAAATGGTTGCCCTTTGGGATGACCGTTATGTTGAACAAGTCATGGCAGAAGTTAATAGAATTACAAAACTTTGCCAAAACCAAAAGAAGTAGCATATGGATGCCCTCTGGGTAAACCAATTGTTACAAACAGATTTATTAAATCATCAAGAAATAGCTTATCAAAATCACAGTCACCAATGAGCTATAATAGTTTAACCTGGAAAGAAGTTATTCCAGACTCATCTAAGTTTTCTGAAGATATTCGCGAAATGCAAAAGATGGTACAAAGCTATGGTGAAAAGCAATTGCTTGTACCGAACAAGGTTCAGCAGATGCTAACCAAAATTGAAGAACTAATGAAGAGTCAAAATGATACATTAGAAATCCTTATTGACATTCAAAAGCGAGTTAAAACTCTAGAAGATAGACCCAGTTCTTCTGGAGGACGAAGAAAAGTAACCTTCGGAACAGTACCCCTATTACACCAAAAGGGTAAACCCACCGAAGTTCGAAGGCCTATGACAGAGGACGAAAAGATGAGAGCCATCTTAAAGAAAAAATTCACTAACAAATAATGGAAAGAGTGGATTTGGTGGATCTACATGACCTTGCAGAATCCTTTGCACGGTTGAGTCTAGTAGACTTAAAAATGAATACGGGAGATGGTTCAACAATAATAACTAGATCTCAACCTCCTCCTGGAGGAGAAATCTCGGGTTCTCACCAACCTGAGGAACAACATATGCCCCACCATGGGGATTTTCATGTTCGGGGAGAAAGCGGGCATCCGGCTGGTACCCGAATGCGCTCCCGAAGGCCTAACCTTCAAAATACCCCTTATGGGAAATCGCAACTAGATCCCATTCATCCTTATGGATTAATGTTTAATCTAGATACTTTAGATTTTAAAAATCGAGAGATTCTTATCGATGATTGAGCCTCTGTAATAAGAATTGTTGGAGGAACATTGGATCTCAATAAAGAAGGGTTCATTTCACTTCTCAAAATGAGCCTAGAAGGTTCAGTTAAAATTGCATGGGATATGGCTTCTCCAGACGTAAAAGGGGATGTCATAGCGGAGAATCATTAAAAGAAATAGTCGATAATATGGCTAGAGTATTTAAGATCTTATTTATCGGCACAGGATATTTTGAAGGAGTAGAAGAAGAAAAACAAAAGAGATATAAGCAAGCCCTCTATTTTTTAGAATTACATGGCATTTGTCATGTAGATGAATATATCAAGTTATTCACAGAGTATAGATGAAAGGCTAAGATGGCAGATTCAGAAGCCTCTCAATTGTTCTTTGCAAAAATACTCAGTACATGGAGAGAAATGCTAATCAAAGAATATAAGATGGACGAGGTAGATACAGTGGCTAGAAAGATGTCATTTCTCAAGGCCAAACTTTTTGAGTGGTGCCATCAGGCGGCACTACACAAAAATTATAAAAGACTTAGAGGAATCAACAAATCAGTTCCTCTATGTTGTGAAGAAAATGACATTCCAACAACTATTGGGAGTCATCCACGGAGAAACAAATGGAGAAAGCATACTAGAGAAACTCACTCCTGTGGATAAAGGATAGGTTTTCATGGAGACCTAGACGATATTGGTCAAAACAAAAGGCCCGGAATTATAAATCTGGACAAAGACCAATACCAAGTCGCAGCAGGGCCTCTTCTTTAGGCTCCAATCAAAGAAGTACAAGTAGAAGAACTTTCAGAAGAGCTCAAACACCAGACAATGAAAGTTTTAAAGACTATAATTGTTGGACTTGCGGAGCAAGAGGTCATACATCAACTAATTGCCCGGATAATAAAAGACAAGGAATAAGACAATTCGAAGCCACTCCAGAATTTGATGATGTTGTTTATTATCAAGATTTTGATACAAGTATATCAATTTGAGGATATCCCCTCAGATGAAAGCATTTATGAAGAAGAAGAAGTCTACTCTAAAGAAGTCTACTCTGAAAATAGAAGTGAATCCAGTTCAGAACCAGAGTAAAGAAGAGTTCCTTCAACAAGTAGCAAGAGAAGACATGTCGGGATTCCTTTCCCATACGACAGTGTCTACCAAAACTCTTATGAAGATTATGAAGGAAGATCCAAAGCTCCAAATGTATGATGGATTTACTATTGGAGCAGTAGAAAAGGTTATGGATAAAATAGGTTTAAGAAGTAGAAACCACCATATTATCCATAGGGTCTCAATAGGAGAGTTTGTCATTCCAATGGAATATACGGGGAATCAAATAGAGATGCAACTCATTCCCTATAAAGAAATTCAGGATATTAAAGGAAGACTCAAAAGAGAGGTGGCTATTACATTGTCATGGATCCACATTGGAGCCATTAGAGTAGTCATCAAGTCAACCTTTAAAGAAGAAATAGATTCGCCTCTTAATCTGGCAATATTTGGTAAAAGAATTTCTGACCTTAAAGACTCGTGTCTTGGAGGAATTACGGGAAATTTGTAAGCAGGAAAGTTGGCATTCAATGTCTATCCAAGAATTGCATACAATTTAGGAGAACGCGATTTTAACAAAGTTCTTACCCTACATCAAGATTTTAAAATAACGGAGTTAATGAAAGAAGGGAATAAACCCTATTCCATTACCTACAAGATTTCCTATGCTTTATCAAACACTAATCATTCGAAGGTATTTCTAAGGAAGGAATCCATAGAAGTTCCCAGAATATTTGAGGATTTTGCAAAAGCAGTATTACCGGATATCATTGAAAATCCGACAATTGAAGAAATTGATATGAGGATCCAAGATAGACCTGTTTTTAACCGGTCTAAAAGCCTCATGATTGAGCCCAAGAGAATGTCTATCCAGCAAGATAGAGCCATTAGCAGTAACCACTGGGAAGAACAACGAGCAAGTATACATACAAGAACTCCAGATGTATTTAAAACAACTAGAGAAATTAGATGTCCTGAAGGATGGAGGTCAGTAGAAATAAGGTTCGATATCACACAAAAGGATAATTTATTTCCCCGTGATGCCTTATATTACCTCCAACAACCTATAATAGGACAATATGAAGGTATTCTGAAGATCGAAGAAATTGAAACGGTGATCACATGAGGAGCATGAAGGATCCCAGAACAACTTGTTCTAGGACTAGAATTCCTTGAAAATCATAAACCATGAGAAAGGTTACAAGACGGAATGGAGTTTATAGTAAATGGACGGAGATATAGAATTTAGATGACAACTAGTCCATTCTCGATTTATATTTCAATCGGAATATTATATGAATCATATAGGGCAGAATACTTTGCAGCCTATATTGATTATGGAGCAGGTATTTGCACAGCAAAACCTGGAGTATTTCCAAAAGAAAAAAGGAGAGGACCTAACCCCTATAGCATGAAGAGATTTCTCTAAAAGGATTCTTATCCTTAAAAGAGGAATTAAACAAGCAAAAATCATGATTGGCGGAGCCGGTGGTAATCCTTGGTATAAGGTAAAAACACCACCAATCTATTTTCATGATACAGGAGCAGATGTTTTGTTATGGAATAATTTCCTACAAACTTTCAAAAGATTTACTCAAGAAAATGAGACAAGAAGACTTATTTTTACAACTCTATGTGAATATAAGTTTATCGTCCAAAGGTTAAGAGAGGTATTTCATAGAAAAATGCCTATCACATTTTGCTGCAAGCGTGGTGATGAAAGAAAACTTCGACACCCAAAAATGAAGGATAAAAGAAAATATGGAGAAACAATCCTTCAGTTAAGAATCGAAAGTCTAGGAGGCTACGAGGAGGAAAGAATAAAATCAGAAACCATTCAATTCCTCAAGGCAAGTCTAGATGAGAAGTTACAACCAAAAGTAACTCTCGAAGAGCAAATCTCACTAGAAGATATCAAAAGAAAAATCCAGATGAATTTCAATGAAGATACTTTAGCTTGGTGGGACAAAAATGAACTCAAGGCATCCTTAAAGGTTAAAGCAGGAAAAGAACATAAATTTGTGAGATACAAGCCCATCCTTATGAATCAAGCTGATCGTGAGGATATGCAATAATACTTAAGGAACACTTGGACCTTAAGTTAATTAAAGAAGGAGTTTCTCCATATAGCAGTCATGGATTCCTTGTTAGAAACCATGGAGAAATAAAAAGAGAAAAAACAAGGTTGGTTATTGATTACAAAGGTATTAATAACATCTTAGAATTTGATGGATATTACATTCCGAGCAGAGAACACTTGGTGAATTGTATCAAGAACGCCAAGGTATTTTCAAAGTTCGACTGTAAATCAGGATTCTACCAAATCAAGATGGAGGAAGAAAGTAAGAAGTTTACAGCTTTCTCTACACCACAAGGGCATTACGTATGGAATGTGATGCCAATGGGGTTAGCAAATGCACCCTAGATTTATCAAAGAAAGATGGATAATCTTTTTAAAGATTATTTTAGTTTTATGTTCGTATA